ACTCTCTCTCTCTCTCTCTCCCTCTCTCTCTCTCTCCCCCCCTCTCTCTCTCTCTCTCTTTCTCTCTCTCTCTGTCTCAATCTATCTATCTGTATATCTATATATCTATCTATTAATTTTATCTCTCTATCTACCTATGATGACAAGAAGAAATTTGTCATTTTTTAGAAATGTGCATCTCCATTCATTTTCATTCGTTTAGGTAACGACAGGAGGATATACTTGAACTCTTTTATCTTAAATTGACATTTTGTTTCTTACAGTTGTCACCTTAAATGGATCTTCTTCTGGTGACAATAGAAATATATATTTTTTAAAGTGGGAAAGGAGAGGATGGGGGTGGGTTGTGTGTGAAACTGAGGAACTCTGCAAGCTGTAATTCCAATATTGTCCTTGTTTTCTTATTTTCTCACCTGACATGAGGTTCCTAAATGCAAACATATACACGCTACAAGTATCATCCTTTCAAATGCTGTATCAAACACTTCATATAACAGTTCAATTTTTAAAAAACCTTTGCAATGAGTGGCAGTTACTGGCCTCAAAACATGGAACGTGAAGGGGAGAGGTTCCGCACTTGCTTGATAAAATTGCATCGACATTGTTATCATGAAAATGCCCACGGTTGCAGCTTATCACTTACATGATTGTTTGGCTTTTTATTCTCAGGTGTAAAGTATACAGACGTTTTCGATCAGCCTATAGACGTCGGTATGATACAAATTGTGTGCAACAAGACTTCGAACATAGACAGCACAAGTGATAAACGTTGTTGTTTTTGGAAAACATGAAGTGTATGCATGCGAGTCTGCTTTCCAATAATAATGATAAACGGATAGCTCCAGAAACATTGTTTGATATCTGGATATTCGTTGAAAACAAACACAAACAGTTGTGTAACCGTAACTACGGTAGTCTGTATTCTCTCTGCATACGATGATAAACTGACTATACGTTCTTATCCCATTGCCATCCTCTACTCTCCGCCATATCTATTGTAACTTCCTTAATTAAAGAGTGTAAACAAATAGATTGGTTAAAAACTATTCACACATTTTCACCGAGATTTTTACACACTGTATATTTATTTTTGTCCGTTGGTTACTGCACATTTTGTTTTTTACGTAGTTATACAAATGAAGTGGAAATTGTTGAGGGTTTTTTTCGTTTTGTTTGTTCTGTTTTTAGAGGATGTCTGATCATAAAGTTTAAAATATAATGTGGAGCCATAGCTCGTAGGATGGTCTTATTTGTATAGTTGTTTTATTTGACCAGTATTTGACCCGAGACCGTTGAAACCTTGATTTGTGATTTTTTTTTCTTTTATTCCACCAGTTTCTATGTTATGATCTTTTTAGGTCACATATGTGGCAACAGAATGGTTTTCGATTGGTGTCTTTCTTTTGAATATTTATGAGTGATGTAAGGAACGTTCAATTTTTCAATCTGTTCGTTTTGAAAAATGTTCAAAGTGTATATTATTTAAGAACATAATGCGTAATTCGTATGTTCTACCAGACTGCCCCAAACCTTTTTGAATGCTGATTTTGACGTAGGGCGGCAGATCTTTAAGGTTCCCTCTGTCTGAGTTTGAAGACTTTGCAGTAAATCTTCATTCTGCGACTAGAAAGAGTGGTTGTGGCCAATCTATATACTATCCTGGCATTAACCTTCTATGAGTGGTTGAGTTTAGTACCATGAGTATTGGCCTATGTTTTGTTCATTGTCATGTTATTAGATCCTTAGATGGTTTTTATGTTATTTAGGCAATTTTGTGCCAAATGTATAATTGATTAGGGTATAATCACGTTAGAATTTGACTTAAAGTATGTCTTTCCCCAAACCAGTGCAATACTGATTATTTATTTCTTTGAAGTGCAATACTCGAAATACGGATTTTGTCAAGCCTTCACACACCAGTGTAATAGTACCTTACTGAACCAAATTGTGCCTTAAATGTAAGTATAGATCTAAACTTAATTCCTTTCTAATGGAAGACTGCCGTGTAATTAATATAAGATTCCCCCTTTAGATGTTTTCCCATGAAACATTGGGTCAACGACCTATGTAACATGTAACACCTGTAATGAGGCTTCCTTGTAGAAAAGTACGTCTGTGCTCACTGTTACGTAGAATGTGAGACTCTCATAGTCTCTGTTGAAAAGGATTCTGTCCCACACCATAGTCGAAGTTTTTCCAAATGCGTTGTTTTAAGGCTGACACCAAACCTGATGTCCGAAACCCACCTTGTTGTCTTGGTTCACCTGATTTTGGAGAGTAAACCTTGCCATCTGTTCCTTTCGATAATGTGTTTGAGTTTTGCTTTGCTTCATGTTTTTCCCACGTGCATTTAATGTAAAATATAAATTTGGATTGAAAAACCCCCACCCCCACCCCCAGCCGCCCTTTCAATGCAACGTTCACTCATCTAATCTTTAATTGGTTTTTGCTGTTGTTGTTGTTGTTGTTGGTGGTGGTGGTGGTGGTGGTGGTTTTGGTGGCAGGTGACTCCTCATTACCCATGGGTACAAAACACGCGTGTTCGATTCACGCATCCGGTAGGTATTTTATTGAGAACCAAGGTCCATCTGCTGAGATTCTTTTTCACCACCCACTCCTGTTTGGCCCCAAACAGACAGGATCGAAGCAACCCGCCTTCTACTGGATCTTAATAACTGTGTCAATGGCAGGATACAACATTTATTATCATAATTTACTGCCGTTTCTTAGTCGGAAATTTCAATTCAGTTAATTTCAACAAAAAATATAGTTGAACCACAAGAACCAGTATTTAACTCTAGCTAGAATGAAATAGGGATATTTAGAAATTTTATCTAAGGTCATGTGAGCGTGCGGGACACATCAAACATTTTAAGTTAGGTAGGAATTAATTTTGAATTTTGCCAGCTTGGCGGTCGAAGCTTACTTTTATCGAGTTTGGACCACCACGGGATCTTTAACGTGTGCAGTTTGTTCATTGGACCTCCGAGATTTTTAGACCTTCTCCAACAAGTGTTAGATCTTACCTACCCTAAGATCATGGGTGTGATTGAAATACAGCAGTGAGAAGAAGCCAAGGAGTACCAGTAGAAAGGCGGCAGAAAGAGCAAGGAACCCAGAGGAGGGGGGAGGTCAGAAAGTGGTGACGAAAGCAGACAACAGAACATAGAGAGCAAGAAAGGAGTTGAAAGGAGAAAGTTTAAGAGAAACAAAATGGCCGTCTCTGTAGAGTGTTGAACCCGTGACCTGTTAAATGAGAGACCAGCACTTTTTAACCTCTAGACCATAAGACCCCCCCCCCCAAAAAAAAAAAGAGGGAAAGACGAAACTCCCCTGGATCGGACAAACAGCCCAGCATGAAAGCTTTGCAAACCCTTTCAGGCACGGCGCTGTTGAAGGCAGGCGAAAAAGAGGAAGACAGAAAAATAAAGCAGGTCTGACAACATCAAGGAATGAATTGGTTCCTGGGCAAGACAATTCCTGGACGGGAGGACAGACAATAGGACAAGGAGAAACATTTCGACATCTTCTGCTCTCAAATCCCCCCCCCCCCTTTCCCAAAAAAAGCAACCCAAAAATCAGATGGACGCAAGTCAAGGGACGAATGAGTGAGATCCATCTCAATCCCCAGGGGTACATAAAAAGTGTCTGTTTTTGTTCATACATTGTTCTGTATAATATTCTGTCTTAACTATTTGATAAGTGCCCATTTTCAGCTGGATAAAAGTAAGGAAAATGAGGTAATATACTTTTCCTTGGGTTTCAACGTCCTACCCGTAAAAATACGGTTCGAACTATTTTTTTAAAGCCTAACGTTTTACTGCCTGGTTATGGCTGTCCTGCATTTACAAATCAAAATATTATATTGAGATCATATATGCAGTGTTGAAGCTATTAGACAGAGTTTATACTGATATCGTTGCGCTGCTATTGTTGCTTTTGTTTTTGTGATTGTTGTCGTTGTTGTTGCTGTCGTCTTTTTGAAGTCGTTTTTTGTTGTTTTCGATCAAAGTGATGATGAGGAGAAGGAAGAGGGGGAAACGGCAGGAAGGGGGGAGCAAGAAGGATGACCAAATGGAGATGAGGAAGCTGGGGAGCCCATGTACTTATCTGTCAATGAGGAAAGAACTCCCGTGACTCACACCTATGAGAAAGTCTTTTTCGGGATAATTATCCTAACAGTCCCGTTGTAGAACGATCAATGCGCTTTGACGTCTTCTTGATCTTTGTTCCCTGAAATTTTGGGTTGTTTGTTTGTAAAAGGGGAGGGGGGGTCTTCTTTTTTAATTAATGATGTTAAACTGCAACAATGTTCGATCTTATGTATCCACAGCTGTTCCCAATGTGTTATAGTAATTCACCCTGTCTCACTGAGCGCTAAAAGTTTGCATCAAATCCCCCCCCCCCCTAATAACAATAGTTAGAACAGTTCGTCCGTCTTTGTCTGACGGTGGCCAATGGACGTTTAGAAGAGATAGATTTCTTAAAGAGACGTATAAGAAATAAGGATTAAGATAAAATGTATGGCTTTTGCCGCCATCAATGAGACCAAATCAGGCCAGGAAAATGTTTACCAAAATTTTCAGCATTTGAAAGCTTCAATTTCACTTGTTGATGTGTTCAGCTTGTCGGCTTCTCTCTTGGCTTCAGTTTAATAATATCAAATTCGTGAAGCCTCGTATGATGTGTTGTACATTGTGGCTGCTGCTCTCCCACTGGGTCTGTCAGGAGCGAGCCTCTCCCATATCAAAGGGTTTATGATAAAGTGCTTTACGGGTGTTTTAAGGGTGTCTTTCTAGCGTGTTTTTTTGTGTGCCCCTGTTTTATTCTGACCTACCGACAGCTCAGAATAGGAAAAATCACTTTTTTCCGACTAGATCTAGTTCCTTTCTTTTACGTAACATTCATTTTTCCAAATTGCAAAGAAATTAACATTTCACGTAGGGGTGAGATCAGCTATATTTGTATGTACTGACCTAAAGAGATTATATAATTTACATTTGAACAACAATAGTTTGTGTATTTTAATACTTTTATTATGCAAATACAAGAAGTTAAATTGGGACATTCATTAAAGCAAAATAACTGAGTATGGGATGTATTTACTTGCCTTGTTGAATTTCTCGCCAGTTCCGTGAGGTCAACTCTCGGGGTTAACAAACCAATAACATTGTGAAATTACGCTTGAAAGCAGGACAACTCTTATAATGATACAAGTGAAAGCATGGGGTATAAAATGCCAATTAGGAACAGGTTATGGAATTGTTGGATCATAGCTGCTGCAGGGCTCGTAATGCTGAGATACGATATAATGAAAAATATGTTAGCAGTTCGTCTGAATGCAGACACATAATTATACTTTCTGTGTGCTCTCTCTCTCTCTCTCTCTCTCTCTCTCTCTCTCTTTCTTTCTCCCTCTCTCTCGCCCTCTCTCTCTCTCTCGCTCTCTCTTTCTCTTTCTCTCTATATATATCTCTGGCTCTCTCTCTTTCTGTCTCTTTATCTTTATCTCTCTCTCTCACTCTCTCAGCATTTTTCCCCTTGATCTCACAATAAAATGGAATGTCTTCAAAATATACATATATATTCAAAATATAACTACTACTAATCAGGTGTAAGGCATTAAAAATACTAACAAGGTTAGACGTTAGATGAAAAATAAGTTAAGATAATTAATCAGTGCCGTGTATATACAAAGCTTGGGAAGAAAACTATGCTACCAGAAGTATCCGAGCTTCATTAGGCCAATGTTCACAGAGAAATTGGGCTTCAGCATCTGTGTAAAGTAAAGCAAATCACATAATTGAATCATAAAATCAATATCGGCAGGAGCTGATTGGTTTACAGATTTGTCGTATTATGAAAATTTATTACATAAATTCTGATGGTTACATGTACAGTCGAACAAAGCTGGAAATATAAGCAAGCTACAATGTCAGATGTCTAAGAACGTTTTTTGCGTGAAAACTTAAGTTGGCTCTCTGCATGCCTAATCTCATAAAGACACTTCTGTTCTTGCCTCTCACACAAAGGGCTACATGAAACACGTAAATCCTAGGCACAATGCAAAGATCTATAGTTTATTCTCTGCTTTTGAGTTTGATAACGCAGTAGCGAACAACCCCTCTCCTACCCCCCCCCCCCCCTCCCTTTCTCTCTCTCACATACACTCTTGAAAAAAAGACGAAATCTAACTATACACCATAACCTGCAAATAATATCCTGACTTTAAAACTCTGACGTAAAAATAACTGGGGTTCGCAATGGCGCCACCATCTGACGATTTCTACAACCAAAATGAAAGGCAAGGAGGGAAAGGTTGCACGTGCACTCGACCATAATAATAGGTGCTCACCAGCGAAGCGGAGTTTTTGTAGGAGCAAAGAGAGATGGCCATGACAGTGCCGGTCTGGGATAGACTACACATCTTCCAGTGCCAGATCTGTGACAGACTTCGGCGATCATGGTTCTCTATTCATTCCTTTGCTCGATGCTCTCATAAAAAGCTACGTTTCCCTGATCTTTCCCTGTTACCCTTTTGTTTAGGTTCCCTAAGTAGTTATTCTGCGCCTACCCCTGCCTCGCTTGCCTTCAATTTTGTCACTGACTGCTAGATGTTCAAGACCCCTATGTCTATGCAGGTGTCCCAAAGACGACATATTGTATTATAATTCAAGTCTATGCTATTGTGACAAAAGATATATTTACCCTGGTTATCAAAAAATTGCCGATGTGAGAAAATACACAGAGGTTCTGATGAACCTGAAATGACTAGGTAGCGGTTAATATTCAAGCTTTCATAAAAACTAAACTTCTGATTTATTTTGCTCTGATCAACCTCATTTGGTGGGTGTGTTCTCGTAGGTACTATTCACGTAGGCTTCTCTTGAGAAGACGCTGTGGAGAAAAAACAAAAGATGGCATTGGTAGATGGCTCACGACAAGGATTTAGATTGGGAAAAAATGAAAAAGTCAGCTTTGGTCAGGGCGTGAAATAGATACATGTACATCTAACACTAACACCTGATGACCGATGGGAAAAAAGCTCATCCCTTAGCCGTTAATTAAGTTAATGAAAAATATAATTTTTGCCGGCCGAGTTCTGGGTTTACTGATATTTCGATTTGAAGCTAGATGTATCTTTAAATGTTCTTTTCCTGGATATATTAATACTATGGCCAAGATAACTTCGGTATTTGTTTTAATTCCCAAGTTGGTTCATTGAAAGACATGTTATAGCGCGCTTTGATGGGTTAATAAGGGGATTGGAGTGGAGCGGGGGGCTGAGAGAAACAATTAAAATCTAACTGAGGATGTGGTCATGCTTAATGTCATCACCCGAGAAGCAGTGTGCCAAACAATAAAAGCGCAGAGAATAGTTTTTAAAAACCATAAGGCTTCCATGATAAGGTTGCTCATTTCACATGATTTGGAAGTGATTTACTTAGCCTTATTTATTACGTTCTGTTGGTAACATTTAGCTTAACCAATCCCTGTAACCTACAAGAAAGAGAGGGTGCTCAGAGAGAAAATTATGTTTCATGGAGAGGGAATGTACATACAGGAAAAAGAAAAGGGGGGGGGGGTGGATTCAAGGAAAAAGTCGATTGAGCTTGACCGCATCAGTGTGCGAAAATTAAATGGCAGTGCTCTGAGTTGTCATTTTATTGTACCTTAGGCCATGAGTCATTGGGGGAGGTGCCCATTTACCACAGGTGAACAACCTCACAGCCTCTGAATACTTTAATAGTTAACACCCTGTTAGCTGGGAAAAGATTTTCTCTTTCATAAGCTCAAAGGAACCAAATTACGATTAAAGAACTGTTTATTCTGGCCAGATTCGTCCCTTTAGATACCAGAGACAGCGAAAGACACACACACACACACACACTCTCTCTCTCTCTCTCTCTCTCTTTCTTTCTCTCGTTCTCTCTCTCTCTCTCTCACACACACACACACACACACACACACACACACACAGAGGGAGAGAGAGATAGAGAGAGAGAGAAAGAGAGAGAGAGAGAGGAAGAGAGAGAGGGTGAGAAAGAGAGAGGAGGGAGAACGAGAGAGTGGGGTTGAGAGATCACCTTTCTTTTTATTGCCAACGTTTAGCTTATTAAAGAAATCAATTCAAAATCCTCCAGAAGGTAAATGATAGAATCGAGAGAAAAGAAATGGTGTGACATATGCCTAAGATATAACCATTAATAAGAAATAAGATGACGGGTTGCAGGCGAAGAAAGCAAGAATTTTTACTTGCATTGCAGATGTTGCGAAATTTCAATGCGTACTTCTGAGAACTAATGTGCCTTTTTCTAGACAAACTAAGTGAGCATATAAAATCCACATACTTCTTTATTTAGAAGTAGCTGAAATTCGTTTTCCAAATTTACAAATGCAATGAGCATTTACTGTTTCAAACCTTTCTGACAGATTTAAAGTAAACTTAAAATATAGGCTATGCATCTTCAAACTAGGGGGTTGGGGGTTGTGGGGTTGTAGGAAGAATAAAGCAAAGGGAAAACATGGGTTGATCTTAACTTCATGAAAAAAGCATCAGTGCTTCAGGCTGCATGCATTTAGTAATAATTATAAAGGTCAATTTGACAGGAGAGCTAAAATAGAAGAGAATTCATGTAACTTCAAATAGGTGAATATACTCTACTGAACAATTGTTGAATTCTGAGATAATTTTACAAAATATTTTCCCAAGTTCCGAACAAAAACTAACTTGTAGGAGTCACAAGATCGTTTTTGAGACGGGAACGTCGGCACTTTCACTTACCTTTGCTTTCAATAAAATTATTTCCCTTGTTGTTATAAGCACCTTATTTTGACTTGGAACTAGCATAATGTTGTAAAGAATATTAAAACACCCACATAAGACTTACTTTTAAGCAAAGTCTTTTTGAGCAAAATAAGACATACTTATTCACAACAGGAAGAGACCCACAGAGACACTCGAAACTGAACTGACACCTTCACACACACACACACACACACACACACACACACACACACACACACACACACACACACTCTCTCTCTCTCTCTCTCTCTCTCTCTCTCTCTCTCTCTCTCTCTCTCTCTTTGTCTCACATACTACAAGCTACACACACACACACGTACACGTATGCACACAGTCACACAAACACACACGCGCACGCGCACACATACGTAAGACATTCACGCTATACACATAGGGAGGCAGGGAGGGCGGGGGTCTGTAGGAGCTTAAAAAAGAGTGGATTGATCTTCAAATAAAAAGGGGAAAAAACTCACAATGCTTAGGTGATAATATCCTGTAGATAAAAATAATATTAATGGAGATAAAAAGACTGCGCTGAGAGACAGCAGACGGGAAATCAGTACGGTATGCTCTCTCACTGATAAGTAAATTTCAATACCATTAGCGTTTGAAACTTTTTATACGCCAAAACAATAAAAGAAATGCAGTTGGCTTAGCCTACTTATTATGGGAGAACAAGAAGCGCCCTTAATTAAGTACAATACGTGATGCTCTTTAGTACCTGCCTTTGCAACTCGAACAAAAATCGTATAAATGAAAAGAACCAAGCAAATTGTGTATGTCATCGTCCTGGCAACACCACGTTCACTTCATTTGGCCTGGATTCCTTTTATAGACACCGTGACAACGTGGCCATCACTAATTGGCCGTGGGGGAGTACGTTGGTTTCTACCACATCGTCATATCAGCAGTTTTAACTAAAGGGGAGGGGGATAAATAACGACAGCAATGGGTTGTGTTGGAAAGGACGCATGCTCTCACACCTTGGACTGATGTGACCCTCATAATTATTCAGGAATACTCATCGTTCTCACTTAAAACCTGTTTGATTTTAAACCTTCTTCACAGTCCCGGGAGTCTAGACCGCACTGCTTCTGTCCTTTGTGGAAAAAAATGACGAATATTGCTCTTCGAAAAGATACATTTAAAATAGTTTCAAGAAGAAAAGCTGGCAGCTCCAAAAACGATACAAGTAAGCAAATAAATGGACCCTTACTATTCCTGGGGAGTTTTGTAGACTCTCCGCTTGATACAGGTGATGAGGAGAGCCACTAGCAAGAGGAAGACGATCACTCCCAGCAGAGCAGCGACGATAGCGATCACCTTGTCTTTGCCCATGTGCGAGTCCTGGCACCGGTCACCGAAGTACTCAGTGCTGTACGAGCTTTCACAGCTGTGAGTAAAAGAATCATATTGATATAGACAAAGAGTGTGGTGGATGTGTACTGTATTCTTTTGTGTCTGTTGTTGATTTTGAGGGTGGGTTTGTTGGTTGTGGGGGG